AAGTATTTTCTTAAAGTATTAATTAGAATTTATCTGAATATAATTACGTGTACATAGTTTTATAACATTCGAAGGCCATATAATTAAGAATGTAACATACTATAGACTATTCAAACAATAGGAATAAATAGCAAATATGTAAATTAATAGAACAATATTTTCTCTTTTATTGCGCCAACTCTTTTTTCTTTTAAGGCAGATATTTCGTTCTCGGAAATATTCGCGATCGTGGTGCATTAGGAATTCTCTGGCTGACAGCGTCGATTCATGTGTAAGCTGATAGCGTCGATTCATGTGTAATATTATTCCTTACATTCCGAAGCGCTTTAATGAGCCTTAAATTTTTTTATATGGCCCCTGATAAGATGTCGTACTTATTAAATGTTAATTTCCTAAATGGCAAATCACATCTGGATATTCTTCCTTCTAATCGAAAAGATACGTTTATAGATGTATATATGTGTGTATATATGAGTGTATGCGCGCGCGTATATGTATGTAAAATAAAAGGGATGACACGTTACCATGCTTTTTATCGTGAGTAAAGATCTCCAGCGCACTTCTCTGATAGCGATAAATTTTAGGGTCTTCGTATAACACTGATAATATCAAATTACCTAAAAATTGTAGCAAACCACACATATTCTGTATTTTAAATATTTACGAGTGGCCTCTGCGCGATACAATATCATAATAAAACTATTTGTTCACTGAACTGAGTTTGGAAACTACATATTTTAGAATCCGAGATATATTAGTCTTACTTTTATCGGCCTTTCCACTTCACCTCTGAACTTCAAACACGAATTTATTAAATTGCTACTGGATATCTCTCACCCGTGTAATAACGAAATTACAATAGTATTACTCCTACAAACTAATTAGAGATTTTTCTTTAATATCATAAAATTCTTATTATGTTCAGGCTTTGGATATTCGTGAAGCAAAACAGTCGATAATTTTGAATTATTGTTCCAAAATGAAATAATTAATGTGTTTATCAAAGACATTTTCATCATATATAATAAAAAAGATGTTTAGAAAAGCTTTCTTTTTCTAAAACTTGTATTATTCTTTTGGAGCAATTCTTTTTTTGCCCATGTATCTCTTCGTTTTTATCAAAACTGCCGTGAAATATTTTCTATACTAGTCGCATAAAATATTTTTATTTTAATTATAAATAATTATCATAATTTTGTATTTCTTTAACAACATATTAGTATGGATGTATGGAACATAAAGCTCAACATAAGCTGGAATATATCAAACATATTTATGTACATAAAGATTTTGTCAAATGACATCATAACATCACATTTAATAAGAAAATGGCTTCTAAAGCCAATGATAAAACGTAACACAATTATATATATATATATTTAGGTTAGCACACAATATATGACATCGCTATTTGAAACATTGTTAAAAGTGCAGAGATTATATTGACGAGATTGTATGAATATATGGCCATGGAAGGTGCTAATTGATGTATCTATGTTGTGGAAAACAGCTCAGTATTTCCAAAGCCTGATTACGATTTTTTACAGGATGCGTTTAACTTCACGCCATTTCCCAAGTGAGATAATACTTAATATTAATGGTACGGATGTTGAAGAAGTTATACGAACTTACGTCTGAAAAATCTCTGTGATGATAATCCATGTAGATTATTCATACAACTTAAAAAAAAAAAAAGAAAAAAAAAACGTTCCTCTAACAGTCTAATTCGCTAATGTATCGTGGAATGTAAACAAGGTGTCAATGCATTCACGAATTACAAGGTGTATAATCACTATTATTTACTCGTAACTCAATTTGATTCGTTAATCATACACAAATATTTTGAACACTTGTAAACTTCTATGAATCAGTTATGAATCTCGAAGTATATTCTTACTAGCCTTAATCTATGGATTATGCTATGAGAAATGAAACGGTCACGGCAACATCTATCTCATCCATTTAAAATGTCATTCTTAATGATCTGATTTGTTGCGACCTAATACTAATATGCTTTTATTATCTGATACTCACTTAAACAGTAAAAAATATTGGCAGATTCAATGCTGTTACGTGTTATTTGTAATATTGTTCTTTTTTCCATTTCCTTTCTTTTTTTGGTTTTTGAGCTCACAATATCAGTAAACTGATAACTCCTTATTGCATTGCTTCCTGCGACTTGTGCGTAATCAGGATAAGCCTGGCGATACGTTACGTATCATTGCGTTTCGATCATTTGTGAAACGAAAAAGATAAAAAAAAAAAAAATGAAAATTGGTTGAAAAATATACGTAATTTATCGAGTTGGAAGACAATGTAAAAAAAAAATCATGATTTAAGTAATTTTTCGGCACTCGAAGCAGCAAGGATATTTATCAACGGAATAATCATGCTATACTATATAAAGCCTCAATGCACGTGTTGCAAGTTTATTCACGTATTATTTATACTCACGGACTATATGTATGAATATTATATAATACATATTAGATAGCACTTTGACAACAAGATATTGCGAAGTTAAAAATCTAGCTGCGTCTCATTAAAAACCTGAGGTACTTTTCACTCTCGGGAAACGCAACTCCTTTCGAATAACAAGTTACATAGAGATCGATCGGATAAGATTCTGCAAAGGTAAGTTATACAGTATACCAATCCTTGTGAATCCGTGAAACCCTTAATATCATAACTAGATCCTCATAATTTTCTGTTTCCTTTCTCTTTAAATTGTACAACTTATGTGTCTCGTAAAACAGTACACTTGCGTGAATATGTTACATGTACAGAACGGTATTAAGCCCGCTCGAGTAACTCTATTCAGTAATTATTTCCATGAAATGGGATAAATAGCTAGTAACAAAGGTCGCACCCCTTGGTACCTCGTTTACAATAAATTACTATTCACCTAGTATTGATATTATTGGAACACACCCTTAATAGTTGTCTTTATATTGTTTCTCTTTGTTCCTTTTTTGTAACTGTTATTAATTAACTTTACTTGTGAAAAAGATGTCTTCAAATGATTCATTATCAGTTGTTCGTTTTGACGGAGCCTCCACATGATAAATTAAAATAAAAAATACAAAGCAAACGTGTATTCTCTGTATATATAGCTAATTTGTGAAAAATAAATATTTGCTCATAATTTATGATTACTGGTTAACCACGTAAGGCCCTCGTAAAGCCCGTCTCCCGTTGTGGCACAAGATGGCTGAACGTACCAATTTCTATCTCGTATCCTAGTTAATCCCAGTTTCTCTTGAATTTCATGTGGTTTCATTGCTAAAGGAACAAAAAAAATATAAAGAAAAATTCGTATATTGTGCTAAGCGTGTAAAGATATCTATAGCACATATATACATTACTGCATTAAAAAAGATATCTAGAGATATCTAGAGCATATATGTCGTTATTATTAAGAGATATAAAATATGGATAACGAATCTTTATAAATATCACTTACCATCTGGAAGATCTTGTTTATTAGCAAAGATTAAGATTATCGCATCGCGCATTTCCCTATCATTTATAATTCGATGGAGTTCTTGGCGGGCTTCGTCGATTCTATCCCGATCCGCACAGTCTACTACAAAAATAAGTCCTTGCGTCCCTGTATAGTAATGACGCCATAACGGACGTATTTTATCTTGACCACCTACATCCTAAATAGAAATATTTCATTGAATTAATAACAAGTGACTAATCTTGATTAGTGATTCTTTGATAGATCTTTAAAGACCTTTATGAAGGAGTTCAATTCACTTACCCACACATTAAATTTAACATTCTTATAGGTAACTGTTTCTACATTGAATCCTACAGTTGGTATAGTTGTCACAGACTGTCCTAATTTAAGTTTATACAATATCGCTAATATAATTTGATTAAGGAAATGAATTTTTCAAAACAATAAATAAAAATATATTGTACCTTACATAGTATATGACATAATCATTTTAATCGCAATCACATGTTTAAGTTATATAATATCATACAATAATGTAAAAAAAATTAATTGCAGAAATAAAATAAACATAGAGATAACAAATATACAAAACGTAAGGATCAGCATTGACTGAAAGGATACTAGTTTTTCCTGCCGCATCCAGTCCTAACATGAGAATACGCATCTCCTTGTTGCCAAAGATCTTTGACAACAACTTGCCCATTTTGCCAGCTGTGTTCTAGGCACCCGGCACCTGTACTTCACAAAATACACGACATGCGTTAATGATGCGCCAAAAATCACAAACTGTCAGAAACCTGTCCAACAACGTCGCGTCGTTTCGTCACCGTGGATTTCGGTCATCTCGTATCTCAAGTGAAATTACATTAGGACACATATCCAACGCGAATGATTCTGCTCGATATATCGAGATTACATAAATCTCGTCGGACACGTGAAATTAACGGCGACCTCCGCATTCATCTCGAGAGAAAAGAAGGAAGAAAAAAAATTCCGCAAGGTTCACCGTAAACGTGTTGAGCGCGACGGCGGAAATGAACGCGGAAATTGTTTAAAACCCACGTTCAAATCCCACGCCTCATCCGCGCTATCGCATCCAATCGTCGGCTGCGCGGCATCGATCGACGGTTACCTCGGCGTCTAACCTCCGCTACGAATCTCTCATCGCGGCCGGGCGAACGCTGGAGACGATATGCAGGTGGGACTTCGGTAACGCGGATAAACAGAGACGAGATAGCGGCCAACACTTCCCCTAACCTATCTGCGTGCGC